GTTTAATTTCAATGAGATTTCCAGGTATATACTTCGATCATAACATATTGGTCACTTGTAAATATCGCAATATTTTGTAAATCAGTGTGGATTCGAAAGATTCGTGAATGAATACAAGCAGATAATCATGAATTTGAATAACTGTATTTTCTTCTAAGTTTTCTTCACTAAATATCCTCCTGGTTACGATGAGTAATCTGGTGACTGATTTTTTTACAACTGATACCCCTATCACACCTTCTAGCCTTTATAATAATTGGTGCTATACTCAAATTCCAGTGGGAATTCTTAGACTCTTTAGGGTACTTGTAAATGCGTTTGATGAGCCATAAATAGGGTGAAGCATACGTCCTGCATCCTATGGCTATCTGTGATAAGATCAATATTAATATTTCATATTGTTGTGCTTCAGGGATTGAAATTAGTTAGAGAACCACCAAAAACCTTACCGCAGTGGATGATCAATCATTCTTCGAAGTGAATAACTGTCTTTCCTTCCTTAGTGACATTCTTCTAGCTGGAATCTTTGAATTTTCAATGAGAAGAAGTGATTTGCATGGCCAGTCTATTCTAATGCGAAACGCCCACCAACTGATGATATTTAATGGGGAATTGACCTAATTAGGAATATCAGAGTCAATAAAATCCAACTCGTCTCTTGACCTGGGGGGGTTAAATATGGCCACCGTTGAATTGTTTCACTCTTGGATGAAACAGATGTTCAGAGCTCTCAGGTTTTCAATATTTTCCCAAAGTATGTCATTCTGAGATGAATACCACCTTGGGATCATAATATTATTTGATTTTTAGCATTCGATTCTGTATGACCAAACAATATACGTCACAATGATGTATAACAATAATCAACTTGACTGCTGTTTACATAATCATCTCCAGGATTATTGATATTGGCTAAATTATTACGGAACATATGTTAATTGGTGATTAATGAACTCAACCTGTCAACCATGTCTCCATATTTAAATTGCAAATTAGACTTTCAATGTTAACGTTTGTTCATAGGTTTGCAATCAATACAATCATGATTATAATTGTAAATATTCTTATTTTGTCACGTGTCAAGTTACTTACCATGATAAACGGCGTTGGATTTGCATAGGAAATCTAATCTCCTCATTTCTTAAAATGTGCGTATGTATATGAATAAAGCAAACGACATTGGTTGTAGAGATGTTAAAACTTAAAACTCTCAATCATTACATGCCTTTTTATGATGATTATTCCATCCATTAGTAAACATAACTAATCTAAATAAATATACCTGAGAATTCAGGATGCGCTTTTCATCCTATTTGGGAGTCGTCAGTTGAACGTACTTGCACTTTCCTGACCAAATGAATAACGCTACACTATAGCGTTCAAAGCGATGAGTACTAGTCTGCAGTCTTGGTGGGAACTCTATTACTCATTGGGATACACGTACATCCAGCTGGAGAGTTCCAAACAGGACAAAATCTTTGTCCTGGATTCCACTGGTAGCCACCATCCAGTAAACTACAACATAATGAGTAATCAAGCAGTATTATGGTATCCGCATAGAAGCTCATCTGTTAATATAGGTGGAGCAGTTTGACCCACCGTAGCAACGGGAAATCACAAGTATCAATAAACAATAATCGAGAAATTTTCCCATTATTAATAGAAAATCATTCAAGAAACTTTTAGGATCTACAGATTATTAGTCAGCTAATTGGCACTGACTGTGATCAATTTCTAATCACAGCCTTATATATAAATGTTACTATAACCTAGACTTATGGTTTAACAATTATTAATCTTACTGTGATATACTTAAATTAGGAGTGATTTTAAATGCCACCCTACCAACCGCTAGGATAACCAATCACTTCTCAGAATTTCGACAGGATATTTCTCAAAGAATAGAGGAATTTAAGTGGTTATCTCGGCATTCGCTAGGGTAGTCTTTAAAGCCTCTCTAAATTAGTTAGTGTGGATGGTGAAAAGAGCTTACACTACAAGTTCAGATGTGAATAATCCATTGTGAAAAGGTATATTGTGGATGCCCTAATAACTATAATGGTCACCCTAGCAACAGCTGAAATAACCAATTAGACTTCTCTACTTTATGAAAATCAGCCTTTTCAACCGAAATGGAGAAATCTTATTGATTATTTCGATCGTTGCTAGAGTGACCTTTAAAGTCTCCGTGACTCAGCCGCAATGCCATCCTACTAATCAAATCTATATGACTCAGTATCTTGGTAAGCTTTATCGAGGGCAAGCCAATATGTTTAAGAGAGAAAATAACAAGATTGTTGTTCCAACTATTATTACCCCTGGTAGTCCCTCTCAGATAGACAGACAGACAGACAGATTGACGTAGATCCTGCCTGGGAGAGAAGGAAGAGATCATAAAAGCATGAGCGTTAAGGTAATTAGTCAAGACTTCAGACATTACTAAAAGTGCATACGTCTGCGCCATGGTGACTGATAAATTAATCATTTGGCAAAGAGACTTCATTAACCTAACGCGGATTATCTTTGTCAAAATACTCGAACTAGTAAATTGTACTTCAATTTATAAGCATTTCTTATTCCCGTTAAGGAACTGTCGACACGATTGCAGGTACCACCTCAATAACTTCAGAATTTGAATCTAAAAATTTAAACTGCTATAAATATTCATTGTTTCTAGACTGTAAATTATTCACAGAATGATGCTCCCGTCATTTACTAGGATGATTAGGCATTGGTTTTCAGGAGAACTGAACAGTCGGTTATTCACTATCAAAAATTATCTCATTTCTGTGAAAAATACAAGTGTTGTTTTATAAAAGTAATCCGAGTAACTTTAAGGGCCACCTTGGGTACTGCTAAAGCAACCAATTAGCTTTCGTCATTTTGGCAAGAAAGGTAGTTTCTCATAAAAAAGAGGGACGTAATTGGTTACTTCAGCAGTGAAGCTCAGTGACCTTGAAAGTCAATCCAGTAATCCAGTATTCAGCTGATAGCCACTGTGTCAAGCTCACAAGTGAATCATTCATATGACGATCATTTGTACTGTTTGGCTGGATAAATATAACTTACTCCCTGGAAGGAATTTAAACATGCTATCCATTTTAATAATAGCTATATTGACTTTCAGTTTATCCCTTTCTTTATTACGCTGCTCAATTATTATGTTGTCTCTATGTGCTTCGTATTTGCAAAGCATGTGAACGAACCGGATAGTAGCAGGCAAGAAATTTGAAGTCACTGTTTTACTAAGTGCTGGATAGTGGCTAGTAGTGGGATCCAAGAGGCGCGTTTCATCCCATGCTGTGCTCGTCAGCTGAACACACCTGCCTCCAACAAGTGATGCTATTCTCACTAGGACTCGAACCCGCGATCAATCGCCAAAGCGTTATTCACTAGGCCACTGAGTCACGATGATCACTGTTTATACTGGGAGTATAGTATAATCTTCGATTTTATAGATTGTGAATCTCCATCGTTGATTGGACGGAACTGATCTCCCACTGTCAGCTTATAAGCTTGTGTGGATGCTTCGATATTGCTGGTATTTTCAAATTTGTTGTTCGTGGTGGATACTGGCTAGCAGTGGAATCTAGTGGCCTAGTGGATATCCCTCTGGAATTTTAAGCGGTTGATTCTGGGTTCGGGTTTCAATGGGAACAAACTCACCCGCTCAGTTCGGTTCAATTAACAACGGAGATTTACTGACATCAAAGACAATCCCTGTTCTGTTTTCATACTCATAATTATGCTGCCCCCCAGTGGGACTTGTAACAGTAGCTTTAAAGCGTGATCAATAAAAGGCATATGAAAAACAGTGGCATGCGTAAACTGAGATAGGTGACTGCTCATATAAAACCTTGTACAAGATCGGTCGTCATTTGAAACTGTTTTAATCTTCATATCGAAAAGAGCTTGTCAAACAAACAGCAGACCAAAGACGTTTGCTGTTGAGTTTACTGACCTCTTTAAGTCCTATTCACATTTATTGTGAGCTAACCCTGGTCTTCATTTCACCTTCAAGCACTGTCTAATATCAACACCGTCAGTTTACCAAGCCTTAGATAGTCAAAGTGATGATCAGTATGATGTCCTCCCCCCTCTAAACTGAGTAGATTTGGACTGGAGTGAGAATTCCTGGGTGGGCAGCGACTTTGTATACGATTAAGCGATAGTAAAGCGTCACGAATCCACATAGTAGTCAGGTAAAACACTTGATGATTGAAGGAAGGCGAAAATGTGATCAACAGTCGGATCTCGTAGCTCAGTTGACAGAGTATCAGGTCCGTAACCCGGAGGTCCTAGGTTTGAGTCCTACTGAGGCTCAAATTTTCATTTCGTTATCAATCATCCAGTACCTCTATTCGATAAACTTAGAGGAGGAGAACTACTGATTAACATATAAGTAAAGAAGAGTATAAAAATTCATAATTAGTACTTAATTATGGAAAAGTCTGTGACTGTTTCTCTGCACATTTACATTTCGTTGATCTGGCCTTAAAAATATTCTCTTATGGGAAGAGCCAGAAATCACTTCACCTTGTTTGAGATCTTTCAGTAGTGCACTCAGTCCTCCCAAACTGAGTTGGTCAAAGAAACTGTAAAGTAACTCCTTAAACATACAGAAACCTTTGTGTCCTGAAAATGAGTTTCAAAATATGATGAAATATCTATCTTGGTTTCTAGCGCTTTCCTAGATATATTTCACATCTCATTGAGCATTATTATTATTATAAGCCCACTTTCTTATAAATCACTTAATTGGATAAAGTTGTTTTTGCATCAAATCAAAAATCCACTTAATGAAATTCTAATCAGCCAATCAGATTGACCAGTGTATGGATATTTCAACTCCCTCTAACCCCTTCTCCCTTGTATGATAGGCATATAACTGACCAATAGCATCACGTGATTACTTCATTCAACCTGAAATAAATATGCAACATGCATTACATTCATTCATTTATGAAATTTTCAATTGCGTATAACAATGTTATTTACGTGGGATATTATATATCATGGCAGTATTCATTTCCGAAATAGATCTGATTAATTGAAGTAATCGAGTAAGTTCATAAACTTGGATGATGTTAATTATTAATTTACATCATCTGGATGTAAAATCAGTTGCGTAACTATGCTTCTCAACAGGAAAATTAGTATTTGAATATAAGCAAATCGTGATTGAAGCGGAACGTTCAGTTCATCAGCTATGGGAATAGTAAGACTTGGGTATTGTGGTAGATTGTAAATCCAGTTTGGAACCATTAACTTCTTGTCTTAACCTGATATGAATGTATGGACAATAAACTATGCCAGAAACGTCATCTAGTAAATAGTACTGTTTCACTGTGTGATCTGTTTGTCACACTAGTTGCCTCTAAGCCAAGCTACAACACCTGAATAGCAAATGAGGTAAGTTACACACATAAGTGACCGATTGATTGACTTGAAATAATCTCGGTTGACCTACTGATAGCGTCTTGCCAATGCCAGGGAGATTAGTTGTCTCTGAAGTACACAACACATCATAACTATTGTGTACATGCTGAAGCATTTCCTCATTGTATAAACTGCCATCTCACGTGAAAGATGCACATCGATTTAACGCATGGCTTACAATGATAGCTTCTTGATGCTTTGGCTTGTGAATCTCGGTCACTGAAGGTATGGAATCAATCCGCCAATACTGGTGTATATACCAATGTGTGTATGCCTCCATATTGCTGGTGGGAACAATATCACTCACTGAGTGGCAGGTACATTCTACTGATGACTTCTAAAAATGACGAAACGTGTGTCCCAGATTTTACTACTATCAATAATATTACAAAGTAGTATTCTAGTGTTTAAAACTAACCAAATTATCTGTTGTTTGGAAAAAATTGAGGATATGAATTCTTAATCTACGCCTTGTCTAGACTATAATGCATCGAATGATTTAAGTTACTGAGTTGAGTGTTTACCGTGGACATTATGAGACATAACTGTTCTATCGACGAAGATTCATTAACTGAATCATATCACAGTATACACAATATTGTCTGTTCTTAATCCCTTTTGCTTACATTTATACTCATTTCTGTGATATTCATTCCTCTTGTGTATGAGATTCGAATAGTGTAGGTCATTATTATAACCTACGAGTAAATTTAAAAGCCTAAATAATGTTAAATAAAAAATTAGATTTTGTTATTTTATGAAAAACTACTTTTAACCTGACTGATCATTTTACCAGTTGTCAAGGTGGCCTTTAAAGTCACAGGGTTTTCTGCCAGCACAAACATAGACGTGTATATATTTAGTTACTACTTTAAATAAATCTGTATTTACCACTTGAGTTGTTCATCTTATAATTATGTCATCTCAGTGTTATCAGCTCTCTTGCAAATTGTTATTAATTAATTATGAGGAATAAAGTGGACATTTCTTAATTAGGCGAAAAGGAGGTGATGAAGATCTCGTATTCACTGAGTAGAAATATAACAGTTTATTAGGTGTGATAATGTAGTCAAGTTGTCTTTCTTTTTACATCAAACATGTGTGCACGCAGCTGATGAGTCTCATGGAGAACGAAACGTGGATCTTGAATTCCACTGCTAATCACCACCAAGCAGACGATAGGCTACTCATTCAAAAGGGACAAATCAATTAAATCCAGGATAATACCCAGTAGGAAGCAACAGGCATCAGTAAATATGCTAAATCCTTTATCATTTTGACTGTCTGAGATTTGTCTGTGATTTAGTAGACTAGTATTATTCACAATAGCTGGTGATTGAAGGTTAAACGGAAATCTAAGCCACAGCAGGTTTCGAACCAATGGCCACTGGGTTCCTGTCGCAGTGCTTTAACAAATGAGCTACGAGACCCAGCCTTTCGGTTGACTGAAAACAGTTCAGTGATGAGACACGAAAAATTCCGTTGATTTTCTAGAAGTCTACTTGTGTCTAGGAGCGGGATCCAGGGTGCACATTACACTCTGTTTGAGCTTCGTCAGCTGGATGTACCTATACCCCACTGAATGATACCGTTGCAACAGTACACATCGGACCAAGTACTAAAGCATTATTCGTTGATTTTTCTCTGTATTTGTTGATAATATGATCACAGTTCATCTACTAATACAGAGTTCGTTTGTAGCAAGTTATGAAGCATGGCCTGAAGTTGGTCAGTTAAGCCGAAAAGTGACCTAATAGTTATATTCCTTTTGGATGTCTTTTGACCATGCTATCCTTTGGCATCTTTAACTTCAATAGGTGTCGTTATTTCAATGAATAGAATATATCTAACTGTAGTGACTTTAAACGCCAACCTAAAAACTACTGAAATAACCAATTAGAGTTCTGTATTTTATGAAAAACTCGCCTTTTATCAAAAATAAAAACATCTAATTGGTTACTTCAGTCGTTTCTAGGATGAAATTTATAGTAACTGCTGGGAATAATTGTTCATTCTTCACCAGTTTAATAACTGAAAATTAATTCCAGTAGAGCTAAGGCCTACCATCCAACTAGATCCATATAAACGATAGGATTCGATCTGCACTCAGGGCCAGATAACATCGGATTGGTTCGTCTCCCGTGACCGATCAGTGCATGTAACCCAGTTCTACAAGAGATCAGTCGCTGTCCGAGTAGCTCAGTGTTAAAGTCGTTGACTAGAACACCAATGAATGACCCAGGATCGAATCTCAGGTGGGACATCAGTTTCGTCAAGGTTACAGAGACGTCTTGTTGACAAGTGCCAACAAGCACAAAATCTAGGTCCAGGGATTCCTCCCGATTGCTTCCAGCCAGCTAACGTCTACTTATGTGAATCCCAATGCTGAGCCTCTAGGCTTGATGGACACATTGCATATATGATCGATAGGATTCTATGTTTACTCAGGACTAGACAACATCGAATTGGTTACTTTCCCCTGACCAATCAATATAATAGGTATCCAAGCACCATCTAGGGCTCCGCACAGGAGCCCACCTGCTAACATAGGTAGAATGAGTCAAATGAGTATAGGAATAGGAGATTACAAGTATCAATAAACTACTCCAATGGATCTTCAATCGAACCTTCCCTTTTAAACTGTCCTTTATATTTGAATAAGTATTTCCAGATTTATTTTATTAACTGTCATCACTGTTTGTTTGGATTAAATTTTTTCTCATCTATTTTAAACAGATATCAAATAGAATCTACCACTAGCAACATGTCAACAGTCATCAACCAGAATCTAAATGAAATTCAAACAAAACACTCCAGTTTAACGAATCAATCAAATACTTTTCATCGTCGTCCAGTGCATCCACGTATGGGAATACACCAAGCAAAATATAAATGTGGTGTAAATACTTCAGTGAATGACATGACTGTTAGTCCATCAGAAACTGTTATAAATAACTTTAAGAGTAATCAAATGGAAAGATTTCCTGTTTCACAACATAAACGCTTGTCTATGCGAGAAAATAATCATAAACTGAAAGATCAATTCAAACGTAGAAGTGGACAGATATTACTCAACAGAATGATGCCAGCCACCCGACAGCCTATCAAAGCTAGACACTCATTACGAAATAAGAATACATGTGAAGCTATAAAGTAAGTGTTACCTATGTTTTCCCCTTCATTATGGTTGTATCAACACATTTAGATCTTTACTGATTGTAACTTGAGGCTATTCCGTTCGACTAAGTTCCAGAGGAATGACGTTTTGAAGAGTATGAGTAGCCTCTTATGCAATCCTTACATATGAATGTGTGGTTTTGGTGTAGTAAAATAAGAGCACTTCGTCAATAACAAAAACTAAATATTAGTTTGACTAGCAGAGATAGCCATGGTTTGACAGATTTCTATTATTGATACAGAGTGAGTGAATGTGAACAATTACCAACCTGGTGCTCTAACAACTGAACTCCAGGACCCGATTACTGACCAGATTTTTTGTTTCATTTCAATCCGCAAGGGTTTTGGCCGACTGGTATGTGAATTCGTGGCACATTACTATCGTTTGATGGTGACTGAAGTGAGTTAGAAAATCTGGTTAGTAGTCTTACTGGTAACCCGGAGGTTGCTGATTCGAATCTTGCCGCAGCTCAGATTTTCACTTCATCTTCAATCATCAACGAGTACCAAAAACTAGTATAAGTAATATAAAACCAATATTAATAAGTTGTCATTTACTAAAAATCAAGGAAACTGACACCTCAGAGATCTGAACACGCATCACACAGAGACTATATCAATGAACTAATCAGATTGGGTAAAACCTCGTATAGGATTGTATACTGTGAATTAATCGATAACTGGGGTGTAAGCAATATCATATTTAAGGATAATAAGCTGAAATGGTTGACAACCACTAGGTTTATTCATAACTTGCTTTGTTCTTCTCTTAAATATTACCACCCATATTACGCAATCACTAATACCAAGCATATTTTCTCTTTTTCCAGCATTATAGATATGAAGAATTTACTAGTTACTCACAATAATTCAATTACCGATGTGCATTATTCGACTATCTGTGAACCACAATTGTCAGCAGATATTCCTCCAGTCGTTTCATCGCCAACAGTTTCGTATTCTCATCAAAAAATAGCAATTTTAACCAATCCTGAAGTAAGAAGGCGTGTGAGTGCAGATAGTGTATCATTGAAAATGTTATCAAGCCATTCAAATGTGAACGCTAACAATGGTAAGTAGAGATGTTCTAAAGTGTTTTTTAAAACATTTTCTGAATTTCTATAAAATAAGAAACTTTAATGTTTATGATTTGGCTATCTGTAGTTTGGCAAACGAGCATTTGTACTGGGTGATGACTGAAGGTGAGATGAAAATTCGGACAGCGGCAGGATTCGAACCATCGACCACTGAGTAACCGGTCCGGTGCTTTACCACCTAAGTCGCGAGGTCCGACTGCTGACCAGAGTTTTATTTCACTTCAATTACCAATCAGTTGGTTGAGCACCGGGCAGGTAACACAGTGGTCTTTGGTTCGAATCCTGCCTCGGTCTATTTTTTCATCTCATCCTCAATCACCGCTCAGTACAAAAACTTTTATTTCTTTCACGTGGTATAAGAATATCATGTTGTGTAGTTTGCAAGTTATGAGCATATCATTTAAAGGTAGTATTCATAACTGAGTGACTTCTGTTGAAAACCTGAGAGCACTGGACAGCTGTTTCGTTCTCATATCAGACTTCTTATCAGTACTCAAAACCAGTGAATGAATGATTAACGGATTTAAAGATGAAACGTGAAGATCTCTAGTGCGATCCCTAGTGAAGAAAAGTATGCATGCTGTAAAGCAGTTTTTAACTTGAACGAAGCAGCTATCCAGCAACCCCAAAATTTAAATTCATCTCTAACTGATATCAGTACATGATGAATACAACTTGAAAAGTATTCAGTTTTCGGTAATATTTTTGTTGTATTATAGTTGACTTTGAAACTCATGTTTCAAATCATGCATTAGGTGTTATAACAGGTAGTAGACAGTTTATCACCTCCCAATAGTTTCTGATGCCTTGAATATAACTCAGCATGAATAAACTGTATGAGGCATACAAAACAAAATGATGAGATAACTAAATGCATTTTAAGATTTTCAGAATTGTCAATCGAATATGTATGGAAATACAATGTATCTTCGAGAAAGACTTGAATAAAACTGAAATTCACGACTTCTAGTCGGTTACTTCCATCCAACTAACATCTATCAAAGTGTATCGCGTTGTTCAGTGTCTTAGTTTGGTGACTACATTGTGGAAATGATCGACAGATTTCAGTCCGCACTCGAACAAAATTCTTGGTGAAACTAATATATATGGTCAACAGCCGAGTCTCCTAGCCCAGTTGGTAGAGCCCTGGATTGATAACTTGGAGGTCTCTAGTTCGAACCTCATTTCATCTTTGATCATTACCGAGTATTATTAATACAATTTTGCTTAAATAAATAGCCAACCTGAAAACCATGATAATTATCAGAAATATTTGGTAAAAATCATATTAACTGTTCCCTGTTCTTCCTTTTTTTCTTTCAGAAATACCTACTATAGCAAAACGACAAAGCACAGACTCTTCTTACTTCATATCTAAATCAGATTTAGTGAACAGGTAAGAGTATTCAAATTATTAGAAATCAAAAGAGATGAATGAGTTATGGCTATTTTATATGAAAATAACCCAATATTTTCAAAAAAGTGCGAAATACATATTATATCGGATTTTTTTTGAAATGACGTGTTATCCTGTTGTTTTCCGTTCCTATACGAGGGCGAATTGCTCGACTTCTGTTAACAGATAGGCTCCAATGCGGAGGCCTCGACATAGTTGTAGTTTACTTGATGGTGGCTAGCAGTGAAATCCAGGGTGCGCATTTCGTTTTATTTGGGATTCGTCATCTTGATGTATCTTCACCTTAGTGAGAAATGTTCTCAATAAATCTAGAAACCAGTGCTTATCACTTTAAAGGCCAGAGTGTAGCATTATCCACTAGGCCCCAGTAACCAGGTGAGCTGCATATCCATCCAAATGAAGAGTCCCAAATAGGATGAAATGCGTATCGTGGACTCCACTGCTAGTTACTGAGATGAATACACCGTGACGTGTTATCTACTTTCCACAGTTATAATTTATTTATGAGACATAACTGTTGACCAGGTCTTCATTTCACTTCATATATCAAGAGTTTTTCCGACTGCTATATAAATCGGTGATACGTAATTGTCAGTTTATACCATCTACCCAGCAGTACCTTCTCACATCAATCCAAATCGAGATAAATTACAGAGAGAGATTCGTATTGATTATCAGCTAAACCTATCTGATGGTGAAATGAAAGCCTGACTTGTGACAAAACTTCAAATCAGAAGCTTGTGGGTCTAGTGTTCACTCATTGAGTATAATTTAGCAACTGCTGAAATAACCAATCAGATCTTGTTTTTTGGCTGAGAAGAACCGGTAATGGATTATCTCAGCAGTTTAGATTACAGATTACTTAACGGCAGCCACATCAGTGTATTCCTGTCTAAAAAATATCAGCCTCTCACTGTTCATATTTTAATCTCACAAACAAGTCAGAATTTAATTCTATTGTTAAATGTGATACAATAACGTTTACAGACTGTATGTTATACCTGTTGGTTTTTCCTGTGAAGCATTATCATGACAGATTATTATTATTAGTAGTAGTCCCTTGGGTTCCTAGTGGGCTTCAGTAGCACGTCTCCAGTGACCTCTGTTCTCTGAGATCTTTGAACCTGGCTCCACGACAGCCCAGAAGCTCTCAGTTCTTCCTCGTATGACCTCCTCCATGTCACCCTCGGACGTCCAACTCGTCGCTTCCCATGGGATTCCACTCGAGGGCCTGGCCTAGTGCGTGATGTCCCAGTCGGCCTTCTCAGTGCATGTCCAATCCATCTCCACTTCCTCCTGCATATTTGTTGAGTGATAGGTTCTTGGTTGGTTCGTTCCCAGAGCTCCTTCTTGCTTATTCTTTCTGGCTATCTGATCTTCAGTAACGAGACAGTATAGGCAGTTGTTGATGAATGTCTGTAGTTTGTTGGAAATGCCTTTCGTGACGCGCCAAGTCTCTGAGCCATACAGAAGCACTGACTTGACGTTGGTGTTGAAAATCCACCATCATGACAGATATTCGCTGAAAATAACTTCTTTCTTGTTGAAAATAAACTTAGTTCACTAAATAACTAAATAATTTCCATCTTCATATTGATCTTCGACTTGTTCCCGTAGATGTGAAGGGTCCGCATGACAACCGTAGTCGAGGATTGGTAACTGAGTGGTATGGCTCATCAACGACTGTCATAAGTTGTAGAATAACTAAAAACCTAACATTACTGACCAGCTATTTCGTCCTAGTATGGGACTCCCTAGTTTGGTAGTATGTTCACCGCTCAACCTGAAGTTCCTGCGTTCGATCTCCTCTTGGGTCAAGTTCACACGGCTGACAATTCTCGTAACCAGACAAAATAGCTATCCGGCGGTTCTAGATCTTTAAAACTTGAGTCTATGATGAATATCACCACTAAAGACTATTTATCTTGTATATGTGTATTCTGATGAACTGAGAAATCAGACTTATCAGGTCAGCTTGTTCATTATAAACTGACATAAGTTTTGACTTGGAATCCTATTAAAAAGTTATCCTTTTTCGTCACTTTATTTCACAGAAATGATACCTCACCAGAATCCAGATCAAATTCATGGAATACTTTGCAGAATATAATTTCATCTGATTTTAATGACACTTCATCAGCTAAATCTTGCATTTTCACCATATCTTCCTGTTCAACGTCAACTTTGAAAAAAAGTTTTCCTTCAAAATGTAACAGATGGAGTATTGGTACAAAAAAAAGATTTTCACGTAGAAGCAGTACTGGAAGTTTAAAAACTGTACAATCTGATAGTGAATGTAATGACAACACTAGTAGTTGTATGATTGTGAAAGATTCGAACTTAAATATCAAATCTGAACAGCCGGATATGCTGAAGGGGATCAAGAGATCAGCAAGACGTACTTTCAGCAGTTTATGTAATGTATTAAGACATTCAAACGTGTCACTTATTACAAGCAGTTCAACTATGAATGCTAAGTCATTCGATGCACATGGTAATAAATTGGATTCAGATGCGCTTGACAACACTTCAAACATATCAACCGTCGGATCATATCAAGTTTCTAATGACAGTGGAAATGACAGTTGTACACAGGAGACTACCTCACATCATATAAGTGTACGACATGTGACACTATCAAGACCTGATTTTAAGGACTCCTTTGGTTTATTCGTGATCAAGTCCGAGGAAGGTGAGAAGCTTGACTTCTTATATGAACCAATCCTTTTTACTTCATGGTACCACTTTTTTTGAATTGCATACTCCAGTGAAAGATATTTTAATGTTATTTGAAAATAGGTAATCTCTTCTAGCTAAAATACTTACTGATTTTCCTCCACTACTCCGCTAAATAGTTTTACAAAACGATGTAATGCATCAGTTCCCCCAGTTTGCATCACTATACGGATACATGGTCTAGGCAAAATTGAAATCCTTATTATTATTATTTGTCCTTTGGATTCCTAGTGGAACATAGGGCTTCAGTAGCACATCTCCATTACACTCTCTTCTCTACAGTCTTTTCAACCTGGCTCCACCACTGCCTACAACCTTCCATTTCTTCTTCACACCATCTCCCCCATGTCACCCTCACCCGGGACACCCAACTCGTCGTTTTCCATTTGACTGCCACTCGACGGCCTCGCTTCGCCTGGCCTGGCCTGGAGTGTGATGCCTTGGACGGTCTTTCCGGTGTATGCCAAATCCAACCCATCTCCACTTCCTTCTGCCTATTTTTTGGGTGATGGGTTCTTGGTTGGTTCGTTGCCAGCCAGCCAGCCAGCCAGCCAGCCAGCCAGCCAGCCAGCCAGCCAGCCAGCCAGCCAGCCAGCCAGCCAGCCAGCCAGCCAGCCAGCCAGCCAGCCAGCCAGCCAGCCAGCCAGCCAGCCAGCCAGCCAGCCAGCCAGCCAGCCAGCCAGCCAGCCAAAGTTCCTTGTTGCTTATTCTTATTATTCTGGCCATCCATCCGATCTTCAGTATTGAGTGAGTGTAGGCAACAGCTGTTCATGTATGTTGTTCTCAGTTTGTTGGAAATGCTTTTCGTAATGTGCCGAGTCTCTCAACCATCACATAGAAGTACTGACTTGACTGAATTAGTGTTGAGAATCCAGATCTTTTTGTTTATTCTGAGTGCTGTCTTTCCGATCCTGTCTTTGATATCGTCACCTGTGTCTGTTCCGCCTGTAGTTGAGACGATGCTGTCTAATTTCTTCAGGTTTCTCCTGTTGATATTGATTGGTGCTTATTGTTGTTGCTGAGTACCTATCTAGACTGAATAGTTTGTAAGTACACTAGAAATTTAGTTTGCTTACTGAATTTCTTCAGATTACTGTGAAGTATAGGAAAGAAATTTCTAGTGAATACTAAATAACCATGCAGACTGACCACAGAAACAGGAGTTCAGAATTTTTTCTGAAGTTGAATTACCCTCCTTTGACTAAACTCACAATGACTAACTGCATTATTTGTACCATTAATTTTCCTACGACTTAACGTAACTTGCGCATTGAAATATTAGTCAGGAGAATATGCTCTTGTTACGTATCGATAGACAAAATCAAATTAATCCAGGTTTCGAAACATAAAAAAAACATGTAAAAAACAAGTGCGTAGGAAAAGATGTATATTGAATTAGACTAACCTGTATGTAAGGAGAAAAAATTTGAAAAGTAATGTTGATGCACGTGTTTAGAAGACGTCAAAGAGTGAATACATCTGCATCAGGTATGTCACCAAGAGTGCCCATCCACTGATTCCTATTATCCCGATGATTCTAGTTAGATAGTCTACACTTCTGTACATGGCTGCAAACAAGAGTCAGAAACTTCGTGCACTGATCCCACGTCTTAGTCTGGCCACCCCGAACTCTCTTCCAACCTAATCCAACTTTTCTTACTGATGGTTCGATATCAGCAACATATGTCTAAGCCACCACAGTCGCTGAAGGTTCACTACCTCATCGACTACTTTTCTGATCTTGTATCGTACCCCTCACCTGAACTAGACTTCACTCACATGGTCTTTCCACTATACGCAAGCAATATTCCTATAATACTTTTGTTCAAAAACCTGTAATCTCTTCTTATCTTGTACTTTCAACGATCATGTCTCAATCATATAACGGGATATTACAGACTGTAGCTCAGTATATTCGTCCTTTGATAGATAGTCGGATATCTCGCCTCGACGCATTATAGATGACGCAAGTTGACAAATATCAAAAAGGTCTCGTGTATCTGAGCTGAGATTATGTCAGTACCAGTCCGTTCGGAATGATGCAACAACCGAAGTAAGTGAACTGGTCATCGCATTCTATCCTTTAAGTGCTTATCCTCAGACTGGAAGTGGTTGGGAATCAATTATGAGGTATAATCGTGCATCTGTATTGTCTAGGACAATGCTTTCTATCAACTCAATTCAACTATACGTTTTCAGAGAGTACTGTATTTCGTCAGCTGTAAAATAAGTGAGACAAGGGTTTCTGATCAGGAAATACATTAACCATAAGATTAAATATTGGACTGTCAGAATGGAATCATTTTGAATGTAGAATTTAGTGGCCTATTGACGTCATATGATATCGCAAACTTGGTTGTATTGGTTAAACTGCACAGTTTTTATTCTATTTCAATAGTGTGATTTCGTGCCTTCAACATATTATCCTCTTCAATATTCGTTACTTGTTCTTGAGTGGTACTAAAGACGGCCGTTGCAGTTACTGAGATACTCACTTAGATTTAGCTATTTTGTGCTGTTGTTCTCAGCAAGAATGAGAGTAGCAATCAATCAATCACGAATGTCTGCGGTTGTGAGGGTGACCTTTAAATTTACGCTTTTTGTCTTATATCTGATTCTCCTTGTGTATCTTTAGTGGTTCCACTTGCGCATAATAACTCGGGGAAATGTGACTACACAACACGACACTTAAAATGATGAAATCTAATCAGTTATTTCACTGATTCCAAAGGTTAAGATATATTTTGAAAAAGTTTAGCGGCACTCAAAGTAAAGTATTTTTTTCTAAAATGAATAATTTCTATGTGCTTTCTCTATGTGTACACATTTTATCCTGGAAACTCATTTCACAGGTTATCGTGTTACACGTTTATCGGATCGATTAACCCAAGCAAAATCCTTTTATCAAGTCAATGTTGGTGATGAAATTGTTCAAGTGAATGGAATAGATTGTAAACACTTGAATACAAGTCAAATGCAAGAAATATTTAAAAACAATCAATCATTGTCCCTTACAATCATGAACCAATCAGTTATCTGATGATCTTCGAAAGAAAACAACAAATATATTGGACACATTGAAGCCTAAACGACCTTGAATCAAAAGTGATAGACTTTATCTAACCAAATACTTTCGAGCAATCTCTCTGAAGTTTCTATACCGATTCCACCGCATAATTTTGGTTTTTTTTGCCTGATTTATTATTTTTATTTTCAATCTTACTTTCTTTGTACAAAAAATATATACAGATTTATAGAAGAAAAGATAGAATTTCTTTTTCTGAAAGGTTAATTTTTTTGAATTGCCACTACTTCGTGAAGAAAATGCTGATAACTCGAAAACTAAAAAATAACCAGAAAAAACGCCCTTAGAAGAACAAATCATTCGTCCAACTTCTGACGTTGGCAGTGCGGTTATTGTTTGCACACAGCTACCCAGTAACAGAGGTGGGTTGATAATAGCACTTTTACTGGTTCAGTTAGTTTCTCAAGGATAATCCGATGTAACCTTCTGTGAAGTGGGCATTTGAGAAGTTTCAACGTTCCACACCTTTATCTTCTAACTTTTCTTCACATTTTTCTGTCGATAAATAAACATTTATAATTTCTTTCAGCTCTATACAGCATTCTTAGTTTCTTGAAACCAAGCTCTTAACTGCAATTAGGAGCGTTCAATGTCAAGGCCTCCCATCGAATCATACAAAAATCTCTCTGACCAAAACTTTGTCATCTCAGGTTATAGATGTGTGCTTTTATTGTGAAAAACATTTATAGGATCCAAGTGCCATTCAGTTAATATGGTGAATCTACAAAATTAGTTTTTCGAGACTGAGGATTCGATGGCTAGTTCTCACATGTGTAGGAATAACATTAATTCTTTAGGCCAGAAGCACACTGCTTAAGTGGACCGTAGTTTGTGTGCCACCCGACTGCATGGTGCTGCTGCTGCAGTTTCTATGAAATGAAGTATGAGTCCTACCACAAACTGTCTAAACTCCTACTGAAAGTCAAATATTCAGACGTGGTTGTTGTAGCAGGTGATCTTAATGCATAAATACGTAGACTAAGTTAGGCAGAATGACACTTTTGGAATCCTAACCGAGAGTATAAATAAAGGTGATCCCCCACCACAATTGCGTACAGAAAACCACCTAGTTTTGGCTAGCACAAAGTCAGATAGAAATTCTTATCTTGAAGAAGCTTAACGCTGTAAAAACAGTGATACTGATGTTAGGTATCTGCTGATGCTTCTTTGTGTTAACCAGTGGAACTAGGATAAAACGATTAATGGTTGATTAGACTGTAGAAAAGAATGGGTCTGTGGTTTTCTCGCAGAAGAGACTAATGGATGTAACATTTTGGTGGATAGTTCAAATGGTCTCCAGCTACTATTTCGTTACCCGATAACCAAATGGGTCCTGAATAAAACACTGAGACAGACCTTCCAACAATTGCTGAATTCGGAAAGACTTTGAGTAATGTGAGTTGACGAAAGGTAGATAAGCTAGTACCACATGTGTTTGATGACGTTGGTCGAGAATTATTGACTAGATCAAGTAAAATGTTTGTATGATCACTTCGAACTGAACTAACCATCGCAAGGTAAATTCCTTAGTGATAATCACAAAGAAATCTGTCTGACGAACAGTGACCAAGACTCTAGTTACTGTGATCATTAGATGCCTAAGTTAAGCTCGGGAAGAGCAAATCAGAGGAAGTCAGGTAGGTCTCATATTACATGTTCGTTCTACACCAGGTTTTGAAAAATATTACTGTTGCCGGACACCAGATGCGCATCACACTAATGAGAGCTTTGTATTCAAACACGCATGGTCTTGTTTGATTGCATGATGAAGTACTAGGTAAGTCTTGTATATGGAGTGCTGTCGGTCAAGGGTGTCCACTATATACATTTTTATTTAACTTTACCGTGGATGATTATATGGACGCCCCCCTTCCTCAGCAGACTTAAGAGGGATAGATAACATCATAGGAAATTCCCTACTCTATGTAGATGACATAGTCCTGATTTATTAATATGCTGATAAGATGTAGAGTCATTGGACACTGGCTGGAAACTTGAAATTGTTTGGGTCACGTTTTTCACCACCAAAATGCAAATTGTTTCCTCAAGGTTGTTTTATGTTAGCTTTGTGTCTAACAGTAAAGATGAAAGTGGTCGATTTCGCTGACTATTTCACTTGGAAAGTTGTATCAACCCTGACGAGTCAATAACTGACGAAATCTGTGGTTTTTGTTACCTTAAGCCATCTGTAACGTCAGCAGATAACTGATTGGCTACTAAAGGTCCAGTGTGATGTGACACAGTTCGCTTTGCACCTGTCTATGGCCACCAGAAATGCCCATTAAGGATGAAGCTAACAGATTTTCGGTCACTACTGCATTAATTTCACTCCCGGAGTGTTATGGATCCACCAAGTTAGCTCTGCAAATATTAAGTGTTAAATTTTAGCTAAAAGAGGTAGGTTAGTCGATGAATTCCAAAACCTTTGTGTGTTACTCATGCCTTGTCATCATCTGTCCTTACGCGCAGCTATGAATAAGGATGAGCATTAACTATTTGTTGATATACTCGTAATTCTCCGTTGTTATACTGGATCGAATTGTTCGACCTCTGTCGGTATACGGGCTCCTATGAGGATTTCTATGCTAATTGCAACCAAGTAAATTACCATAATAAATATTCAGGCAATATCGAGGCATTTACATAGGAGCCCATATACCAACAGAGGTAGAACAATTCGATCCAGTGTAACAACGAAGAATTACAAGTATATCAATAAATAGTTATAACTGATACCCGTTGTACAAGAGGTGACTGTCGTGCCTCAACCGCCTACTGGATAGCGTCTTGGTGTTTGAAATGATGGGTACGATGTTCAAGTCTCGGTGGGAACAACATCACTCACTGAGGTGCAGATACATCCAACTGATGAGTCCCGAGTGGGATGAAACACACGTGCTAGAGTCCTCTGCTTACCACAACCAAGTAAATTACCATAATAAAGATGGGCTAGTTTCGAAAAAAGTAGTGTGGTCAGATTAAAACATGGCATCAGCCTTATAAAGTACCTACTTCTTCATTTTTCACCCTGCAGTCTTTAAAAGTTCTTGATAATGCGATTCCATTCTCTTGTCTTTCATCTTGTTTCCTCGTGTGTATGACAACTTTTCTTCTACTACTTACATAAAGCCAAATATTGTCATTCAATTAAGCTAGTTAACTGCTGCGTACACAATAATTCTTGAAAAGTTAACAATATGCATGTGATTCATCTGGTACTTTGTGCGAACTGATTAATCGCCAAGTATCTTTCATCATGTACTGATAGCATACGGAGAACCACTGAATACCTAAGGGCATCCAACAGATGCTAAGTTTTAGTTTGAGACCCCTAAGCAATAAGTATCGGTAGCCCTTTGAAGATTCCAGCTGAAGATGATCATGTCTCCTGTAAAGCAACTTAACATTCAGTTAACTCTTGAGGTCAACTTTATAAATCCCTCTCCCACCTTGTGAATCTTTTGAAGTAATCAAAAATTAAGCGAATAAGTGCATTTCATACTTGAAAGATATACAGTGAAAAAGCAAACTTCTTCAACAAGCAATACATGTTACCATTTCTTTACCAAGTTGTATGGATTGCTTGAAGTCAGGTTACTCGCTTGGGGACTAACCTCATATACTAATGATTCACCGAAGTTTAATGCTAATAATGAATGGCAGTTAGCAGTGGAATCGACGTCACGCGTTTCATTTTATTTGGGACTTATCAGCTCGAAGTTCATGCCTTCCAGTGAGCAATGTTGTTTCCAGTGGGACTGAGGAACGGTACTCATTGTTTCAAACGGCAGAGAGTTGTCCACTGAGATATGACAGCCCTCTCTGATACAACGAGTACTACATCCAACCTTCCGCTGCTATACTGGGTTGAATTTCTCGACCTCTGTTGTTCCAATTAACTTTTTTTATTTGATAATATGTACATAACATGAGCTGGAGTTTGTACATGAGTTTATTCAGTCTGTTAAGTGGTATACTGTACAAAAACAGTCTAGTTTTTAGGTCTGGAAAAGAAAGTGATTTTTGAACCTAAAGAATGATTCCAAAAGTCACTTTTGCAACTTCTAAAATAACCAATCAGGTTTCTTTGTTTTCTGAAAAACTGGACTGATCATCCGAAGTAAAGACATCATACTTCTAGCCTTCTAGATAAATTCGAATAAAGCAAGAACAAAGGGGTTTGCGGGATAAAATGAGCCCATTTTATTTCACAGCTTTCATCGTCTCCAAACAGACTATAATTGAAATGAAGTGCTAGTAGTAATAATGATATATATAAATATGCAGAAATAAATAAAGATTCGAAATCCAGGATTAACAATAAGGTAGGGAGTCGAGGAAACACGATTAATAATTCAAAAGTTTTAACCAAAAGCAGTGGCAGTTTAAATATGATGAGATACAAATTGCGAAGCTGTGGAAAGGGTAGGACAACAAACAAACAAGAGTTTAAGAGAAGGGGTTGTTAAAGAACTAGTAGGTTACATAGTGATATGAAACAAATGGAAAAAAGTTAGTCTGAGTGATTAACAATCGGTGAGTAGTCAATGAAGACATGATGAAATGATGATGCATACACACTCAAAACTACCTACAGTTACTAGGGGAAGAAAGGCTTAGTTATAGTCTCTTTCTGAGTGTTCAGGTTAGGTTGGAAATATTTGATAGTAAGAGATTTTGCAAACTGTAATAAACATGGCGTTCTTTTTTTTTGATTATCTTCAAGGATTCAGAAACATCTGTTTGATATCATATTTCTGTCAGGTGACTTGGAATTGTTCTGGTGAAGATCTTGCTACTTTTAAGATAGATTTCTCCGAATATACTCGTAAAATCAAGTAGACGACCATCTTTCAGTTATTCCTATTTATTTCTTTTCACAAGCGCATACGAATTCATATACACCATTTGAGATGACATGAACTGGGTATTTGCCTACTTTCCAATATGTTGTT